GAGAAAGGGGGGGATGGAGGGAGAGAGAGAGAAAGAGAGAGAGAGGGAGAGAGAGAGAGAGAGAGAGACAGAGACAGAGAGAGAGAGACAGAGAGCGACAAGAAACAACACTCACCGAGAACACATGGGGGTCCTCTTCGTGGTCACTCTCTTGTATCGTGTCCTCTTTGCTGATTGCTGAAACAGAACAGAAAAAAATAGAACAATCAGAACAATGATGTCACTGCTTACATTGTAATCTCAGCACGGGATCTAGTTTCACTACTTTTGAGCGGGTGGTTGGTGGGTGCTCTGGTGTGGTTTGCTCCTTCTTTCCTATCAAACATCTACCGTCTTTATCTCCCCTCCTTTTTTGTGTTTGTTACTCTCTTGTAACACCTCTAATCTTCGGCACTTATATTGCTATATTGTGCTGCAAGTGCCGTAAAACTTACTAAAACTAGATATAACTACTTTCGAGGCGAAGACAGGCAGCCTATGATTCACATTGAGTTGGCACAGCCTGCAGCGTGGTGGTTGTTAACCCTATCCGTACGCCCTGTGGTCTTTTTGTACCTCCGGAGTTGTATTCTTCACATTTTACTTCTAGTACGAAGATCTCTTTGAAACTTTCAGTATTTCTCAAAAGATCATTTTTGGCAGACTGCTATACAAAGCGTACGGATTGGATTAACTAGTAAATTTCCCCTTTGGAAAGTGGGGGCACAGAGTTCCCCACGTCGTACTGATACGATAGTAAAACACAGCGTACAGATTCTATAGGGTTAAGCTCTTCGCTGTTACACACAGATAAAAGTGAGCTCCATTCCAAAGTGAGGAAGGTATTCACTCAAATATCTCCGTCAATACGCTGGGATACTGCATCCAACACAGCCCAGGCTGACCCTGACATGAAGCGCGAAGTAGCCTTCTTTCTACCCCATAAATTATCTACACTATGTCGACGTCAGCAAAAAATATTTACAGTAAACTATTCCATCGCGTTGAAACATTCGACGAGTCAGAACGATTGATTGTTAGTGTTCTGAGTTCACATTTCGCCCAGAAAACATTAGTATTAGTCAAGTAACTATCATCAGCAAGCAAGCTGTTCAAGCAGTCTAAGCCCAGAAAGCAAGATTTTTTTAGGAGAGAGAAGGAGAGAGAGAGAGAGAGAGAGAGAGAGAGAGA